ATGTGGACAACATTGATTTTTTTTTTTAATAAGATAGAAAGAGATGGGTATGTGATATTCCACTTAGATGATTGTTTTTTTTTTACTATACAGTGAGTGGTTGTTTCTTTTTTCCCCCTTCAACATATGCTTGTTCTTTTGTTTCCCTGGTGCTTAGATAAAAGCTGTAGGGTGTTTAAGTTTTTATGTTTTTTTTTTTTTTTTTTTTTTTTAACCTCTCATAGTGGTTGATGTCCCTGAGTTGATTTTTTTTTTAAAGCTTTGGTTCTAGGATATAATACTTAATTTGTGCTCAACACAGATTTTTTTTTTGTTCTGATTGTTATTTGTTAGCTGCACACATGAAGAGTCAGTATACATTTTGGACAGATATTTGAAGCTATCTGGACAGGGGACATCAAGTAAGGATGCACAGTTTTTTTTTTTCACTTGAACCATGTTATGCTTTTGGAGAAACTTGTTTTTTAATGGCATGTTCATCAGACCCAATCTTGTGCAATTTGTATGACTTCATTTAAATGAAAGCCCGTTTTTTTTTTTGCCCATTAAGCTTATTTACTTCTTACCCTAAGACTCTGTGATCCTACACGAAGTTTGTGGTAGAATATAGGAGCTTGCTATTTGCCTAAAAGGTTATCTTGGTGTTTTTTTTTTACTTTCGGTGATTTAAAGATGGAAAAAGTCTGAATTTCATGCTGTTATTTTTTTTTTCAGTGGCCATAACCTGTTCTCCAGGTCTGCCAGGGCACTGTTGTCCATTTTTTTTTTGTTTGCCCTGTAACATCTCATGCTGTTAAAAGTGACAGAAAATTACCCAAAGCACCAGTGGCGTATTGCTGAGACTAAGATAGGACTTTCTCCTAATTACTATATTTTTTTTTTGATAATCATTGGGGGGGGGGGTTATTATCAAATGCCTTTCCCAGCTATTTTTTTTTTTGCCTTATTTAAAGTCATCAGTTGTTTCCCTGAATTGAAATACATGAAGGAAAATTCCTTTTTAAGCTCTGTAAGGATGATTTAAAGTTACTGTTCTACAGCTGTTCCTTTCTAAATATGCAAGGGGTAGGAAACTGAAAGATTCATTAGAGATACAAAAGTTTTTTTTTTTTTCAGAGTATTCTTCACTATGAACATAATCATGGCTATTTCTACAATTTTTTTTTTGTAGGAAGAATCTCATTTGCTGCATACTGTTGCCCCATCGTTGCACACTTCAGTGTATAGACAGTCCCATCTGAAGGTGGGGCAGTCACTGCCCTTCTTACTCATCTGTCTCTGCCTCCAGCTCAGGAAGCTCAAGTTTTGGAGGAGTTCAGTGGAGTCTGGTTACAAGCAGGACTCACAGCTCAGAGATAAATCAGGCGCTTGAGGAGCTTATAACTTTTTTTTTTTAAAAAGCTGAAGAGCCTGATGTATATTCATTTCCTTCCTTTAGATATTTTTTTTTTTCTCCTACTCTAAACTAGTCTCACAGAAATGAATCAGAGAATTGCATCTTTTCCAGGACATACAACTTTTAATGGGAAATAGATTACAGATGAACAGTAAGAATGGTTTTTCAAGACCTTTCTAAAATCTGCCACCACTTTGAAGTATCAAAAGTTGATTTTTTTTTTTTTTACTTGGCAGGAGGATAGTATATTGGATGTGCAAGACAGAGAATCCAGTTTTTTTTTTTGCTGTTGATTTGAAAATGAATTTGTACTGTTTTGTGGCATTTCTTATTTTTTTTTTCTAATAGAGTATTATAAACTATAGCAGTTACCTCACTTGATGGTGAAAGAAGATCTTGGAAGTTGATTCATTCAAAACAGATTTTGGAGAATCTAGGTGGAAGAGAAAATGTTTAGTTAGGACTCTACCTCTAAAAATCCTGAAAGTTTAGAACATTTAGCTTTTTTTTTTTTATAAGAAAAGGAAATGGATGAATTTCTGCAAGTGTTTATTATATGTTTTTTTTTTCTTGAGGGGGTTGGCGGAATGACAGGATCATTACGCTGCATGTCCACTGCTTGCAGGTGGGCTGTTCTGTTCTCTCATCCGCACTTGAGGCCCACACTTGGTAGTTTTTTTTTTTGATACGGAGATTACCCACCACTGTGGTGGTGGTAGTTGCCGGGGGAGGGGGGTCCTCGCATCTGACCTCAGCCTCACAGTCTGTTTTCTTTTCAGCCTAGTCATTTTTTTTTTTTTGAGACTTCGAACTTTATAGGGTCTTCAGCCATCTGAGGGTTCTTAACTCAGAACCTTTTAAGAGAAGTCAGCAAGGCAGAGGGAGAGGGGAATCACTACTCTTTTTTTTTTCTTCTCTCCTTCCCTATTACAAATCGTGACTAACCAAGAAGAAGGGGTTTTTTTTTTAGCAGTTGGCTTGGCACTCCACCAGGGTATTTTGAGTCCTCCAGCTAAGAACCTTAGAGCAGCAGGTGGAGCAAAACTAAAATTCCAGCAGCCCCTCCAGGGGCTTTTTTTTTTATGGTTAGTTGTACAAGCTCATCACAGTTCATTCTGAAGGAACTATATAGAACTTGTATGTTGCTGAGCTGAGCTCAGCTCTTTGCAGGCCCAGAAAAGCTTAGTCACTTAGTCACTCCAGATGACATCCTAGCATCTGTTGGTGATAGTTCTATTTGGCTTTTTTTTTTTAAAGGGATAACAAGTGTCTAAGGTCTAATGGATGATGAGAGCTTCTGTTTTTTTTTTACCCAGTGCTGACAGGGTGTCTTGCTAGGTGTTACTGTGGTCCCCATTTTTTTTTTTGCCAACTTAAGCTTGTTCTTAGTGCTATGTAGCTAGTAGATAGGAGTCCTGAGGTTGGAGCAGAGCCCTGACTCCTCATCTCATAATCTTTTACTCCAGCACTCTTTTTTTTTTATAAAGTAGTAACCTGAAAAAATAATTCTAAGCATCTAATGTCACACTTTTTTTTTTCTGAGAACTGAAACAGCAAAAGAAGTATCATTTTGGAGAAAGAATCAAATGTAACTACAAATAAAGATGTTTCCATAACGTCTTATTTTGAAATAATTTGAGACTTTTTTTTTTGTTGCACAAATAGTACAAAGAATTCCCATATACCTTTCACGCAAATTTTTTTTTTTTTAACATTTTACCACATTTGCTTTTTTTTTCCTGAATAATTTGACAGTTTTTTTTTTTACATATTACCTAAATATTTCAGCGTATATTTCCTAGCAAACAAAGACTTTTTTTTTTATAACCACAGTAAGTTGATCAAAATCAAGCAATTAACACTGATCCAATTTTTTTTTTTTAATCCACAGACCATATTCAAATTTGGCCAATTGTTATACTGATGTCTTTTGCAGCAAAAGAAAATAGTTTTTTTGGTCTAGGAAAAATCTAGGACCACCTGTTTTTTTTTTTTGGCATGTCTCTTTAATCTCCTATAATATGTAACAGTTCCTCAGCTCTTTTTTTTTTCACTTGAAGAATACAAGCCATGTATTTTGTAGAATTTCCCTCAGCTTGGACTTGTCTGGTGTTTTCTCATGGTGTTTTCTCTTAGATTCTGGTTATGTATTTTGTTTTTTTTTTTCCCACAGAAGTGATGCTGGTTCTTCTTGGTCCATCCTCTCAGGAGGCACATGGGTTTGGGGTGCTTCATTTCTGGGAGGTGAAGTCCATACTTGGTTCAGGTGTTTTTTTTTTGTTTTCTCCACTGCAAAGTTACTGTTCTCCCTTATGGAATTATTAAGTTTTTTTTTTAGAGATACTTTTGAAACTATGTAAATATTTCTGTTTCTCATTCAAACTTTTTTTTTTTAGTTTTAACATCCATTGATGATTGTTGGTTGAGATCATTATTACTGTTTTTTTTTTCCAGTGGTGATTTTCTAATTCCATCATTCCTTTTATGGTAAGTAAGAGCTTTCTCTTCTCCTTTACAAATAAGTTTGGTCTGGCATCATGCTAGAACTCATACTTTTTTTTTTTACATGGTAGTGTTACCATAAATTATCTGGGAGATACTTGTTTTTAAGTTTTTTTTTTGTAAAAGTATTCCACACTAAGGAAATGAAAAAATAGTCCTGCTTCACTTTTTTTTTTCCATGCTCTCAGTTCAAACGATAATGTTTTATTTCTGCCTGTATCCATTTTTTTTTTCCACTGCTTTTATCTTCCCTCCCCATTCTGGGTTCTGTTTCCACCACTTTTTTTTTTCTAGGGTCCAAATGGCTTTTACTAGCTTTGAGTTTGTTTGAAGTGCTATAAAAATTATCAAAAGTTATAGTAATGATACCACTATCTGTAGATTTAGATGTGTACCATGTCAGTATCTTGCACTTACCAATTAAATCAGTGTGAAAAAAACCTTAAATCTTTTTTTTTTTTGAAAGAGGTGACTGAGAAGGAGAGCTTAGCATAAGTAGAGATCTTACTTTTTTTTTTGTCTCCTAGCTGGTAAACCTTCCCTCCTGGGGCTTGAAGCCATTTGCTTTTTTTTTTTGTACATTCTGCCACTGACCCCTCCCATTTTTCTGAATTTCTTCTGTTTTTTTTTTTTGGTTGTCATTGATGGTGTTCTCCTTTGCATGCTCTCCCTCCAGTGATTTTTTTTTTAAAGAAAAAATAGCCCTTCTAAGAAGTTTGGGAAAAAATGCATACATGGTCTCTAGAGTGGTTGAGGATTGAGATACATCCAGTTTGGTGATATTTTCCTTTCAGATGAAATTAAGGTTACGTTGCAGCAATGTGTTTCTTGATTCAGGAGGTATTTAATATTTTTTTTTTTTTAAGCCTCTGTTATTGTCCAGACCTCAGGAAACTTGGCTTTTCAAGCTCAAATTCTAGAGAAGTGGCAGTTTTTATTGATTTTATTTCTTTAAATTTGAGGCTTTTTTTTTTTGCCAGTCTTTGTGACTGCTATCAAATTTCCAGGAGTCCTACTAAAGTTTTTTTTTTGATAGTAATTTGCATTCATGAGTTCAGGGTATCTCTAAATCCTCCCTTTTTTTTTTTTTTTCTTCCTGCAGGAAGACCTCCTGATGCAGTCAAGCAAAGAACGTTTATGCACGGGCCTCCCTGAAGACTGTCTGAGGAGCAAAGGTATTTATTTTTCTCTATTTTTTTTTTTTTTCCACTTACTACACACTTTTAGTTCACAGTTTCTATTTTGCCTCTTTTTTTTTTGTCCCTGCCTTGCAAGATGGACTTAAATGTAGAAATTCTTGATCTTGTTTTTTTTTTTACTTGAAGACACCTAATATTATTGAGCAGTGCCTTAGGTTTTCTTGTTTTTTTTTTTAATTTTTTTTTAATTTATTTATTTGACAGAGAGAGATACAGCGAGATTTTTTTTTTAAGCAGCGGGAGTGGGAGAGGGAGAAGCAGGCTTCCTGTGGAGCAGGTTTTTTTTTTCAGGGCTCGATCCCAGGACCCTGGGATCATGACCTGAGCCGAAGGCATTTTTTTTTTGACTGAGCCACCCAGGCGCCCCTTTTGTTTTAATTTTTTTAACTTTTTTTTTTTTTTTAAGATTTTTTTTGAGAGAGAGGGCATGCAAGCAAACATGGGGAGGGGGAGGAACAGACGAAGAAGCAGACTCTTCACTGAGCAGGGAGCCTGATGCAGGGCTGTTTTTTTTTTCCCTGGGATCATGACCTGAACTGAAGGCAGACACTTAACCAACTGAGTTTTTTTTTTTTATGTAATGAATGAATATAAAGCCTCCCCTTTTATATAGAATCCCTTTTTTTTTTTGAACTTTTATTTGATTTTATAAAACTAAACTGCCTGTTTGGAAAGGTTTTTTTTTTTGGGGAGGAATTGACCCAGTCCAGTTGAACACTGTGGAGTGCATCCTGTTCCTGTTCCCCTGGACAGGGATGGGAGAAAACGTTCACTCCAGGTCACCTGTCAAATTTTTTTTTTTTCCATTACTTTGTTTTGCTTCTCAAAACAATGAATGGATATAGGCATTTTTTTTTTCACCTTTAGATTGATTGATTGATTGATTGATTGAGGAGGAAGCTGAGTTTTTTTTTTAGAGTGCTGAGCCAAGATTTTCTCCCCAGGCTGAAAATAATCTTAGGTTTTTTTTTTAAAGACTATGTCTATATATTATGCAATTAAAGTTAAAAATATAGAGTTTTTTTTTTTACAAAAAAAAGGAAAATATAGCAAGTATGTTTAATTATATGAACATTTTTTTTTTTTACATCAGATTTGACTCTCTGCTTCTTGGCAGCCCAGACAGAAAAGGATTTTTTTTTTGTCCTTATGAGAAAGGGTACTTGTCCCACTTTATCACCCTGCTTCCTGCTGCTGGAGATTTCCTCTGTGGCTCAAAGGCTTGGCTGGTCCAGTATAGATTAAAATTTTTTTTTTGAGAAATGTCCTTTTGTACATGTCTCACCCAGTTCCTAGGGCCTTACTTTTTTTTTTTTTAGCCCCAAATATCTTTTCAGCAGGGCTCCAGTATTGCTATATTGTTTTTTTTTTATATTTTTGGTATATTTTCACCCACATCTTAGCACAAGTTTAGTATCTTTTTTTTTTACTACACTTTCATTTAATAACTGAACTGACCTTTAAACAGGAGAATTGGGGGGTGCCTGACCAGCTCAGTTGATAGAGCATGCAACTCTTGATCTCGGGGTCATGAATTTGAGCCCCATTTGGGCATAGAGATTACTTAATAAAGAAAAAAAATTTTTTTTTTAAAAAGGGTGCCTGGCTGACTTGGTCAGTAGAGTATGTAACTCTTGATCTTGGAGTTGTAGGTTCGAGCCCCATGTTGGGTGTAGAGATTACTTTAAAAAATAAAATCTTTATTTTTTTTTTAAAACAAAAACAGGAGAATCAGTTATTTTCTATGAGGAAATCTGCCTTTTTTTTTTTACCTGGTTACTGTCCACCTAAAAATCTGGTCTACATTGGACATGGATTTTTTTTTTTCTTCAGATAAGCTACTTTGTGGCATTTTTCTTCCTGAGCTAATACCATTTTTTTTTTACTTAAATTGGGAAAATGAATTACTTTTCTTTCTCCAAAGCTGTGTGCAAGGTTCTCAGTTTTAGATGGAGGAACTTGACAAGAGCAGCTCTACTAGAGTTTTTAGCAGCAGTGACATAGTGCCTGACTGATGTTCTTCCATTCAGTCCCCAGAGAGCCTTTTTTTTTTTTCCTTTGTTACACATGAGGAAACAGCCTCCGCCCAACCAGTCATAGCATTTTTTTTTTAAGGTTCTATGAAGGCAGGTCTGTGAAAGACATGAACACACAAGCTGCTGCCGATTTCTGTTAAACAGATGCACATGCTGTCCTGTAATGTGGCCAGCATCTCAGCTCGCTTTGCCAGGGTTAAGGTAAAGCATCTGGCAACCCGTCATTTCCTACAGAATTTTTTTTTTTATGATGTTTCTTGGAAACTTGGTTGTACACTCCCTCTGGGAGCCCCAGCTGCAGAATTTTCACTCTGTTCCAGATCCTGGTCCCACACATTTTAGATGTAGATTTTTTTTTTTTAAACTAGTATACCCTTCCTACTTTTGTTTTAAATCTCTGCTCTGTTGTTTTTTTTTTAAATTGCTTACAGAGTTTTATTTATGTTCCATTTTGCTTATTCTGAATTTTTTTTTTTCAAAGGTCAGCACTGTGTGATAATTTATAAATTTGCTGAGGAATGATTTTTTTTTTCCTGCACTGAGGTGTTCAGCAAGTGAACCTAAGGCTGCCACACTCTGTTTTTTTTTTATTGTTCTTCTCTAAATAAATGTCCTGTTCACAGTACTTCCAAGTTAGTGTGATATTCAGAATTTTTAGGTTCTTTACAGTCATGTCTGCTGTAGCTCAGGTGATTTTTTTTTTAGCTTAATGCTTTAAAAGGACATTTGTGTTAACCAAAAGTCATCTTTTTTTTTTTTTATGCTATTTTGCAGATCATTCCTTATTTCTTGATTGCTGTAGGGCAGTTTTTTTTTTAATGGGCATGGGGGAGCTGTGATGGGTGTTGGATGAGGGGCCATTTCTTTTTTTTTTGGTATCCTCCTGTCAGACACTCTGCTGCCTCTCTTCTACTAGTGTGCTTTTTTTTTTTGGCTTTTTCACCATAATTCTGTTTAATATTTTATAGAACTGACATTTTTTTTTTTTTTTGTTTGTTTCTGTTGTGTGTGTGTGTTTTTTTTTTCCTGAGTTCCTTTTTTTTTTCTTGGTTTGGGAAGGTAGTGACTTAATTCTCACAGTAGCAGTCTCCACGAGGGCTTATTTGGGAATTCTCTGAAGTAGGAGAGTCACAAGAAATTGGAAGAGCATTTTTTTTTTTACATTTTGATGCAGAGGTGAAAGCAGTCAAGGAGAGAAAAGATACCTTTTTTTTTTTTTGGAACTAGATAGTTTGAATTATTTAGAAGAATTAGAGTTGAAACTTTTTTTTTTAGCCCTCTATGTCTGTCATACAAATAAATTAAGTATTACAAGTAGATTTTTTTTTTTCCATCGATAAACTCCTTATGCTTTGTGTGTGTCTAGATTCTTGGAGTTTTTTTTTTTTTTTTAATACATATAATTGGGAAAGAATATTTCCTGCTTATATTCCTTATTTATGTTATTGTCCTCCTATAATTTGCATTTGAGGGGGAGAAAAGTTGAAAAATTTTTTTTTTTCACACCCATTTAATAGACAACATGAAAAAAGTGTGGACATTTTGGGATTTTTTTTTTTTGTTTTTACTTTTTTTAAATTAAGGTATAGGGACCCCTGGGTGGATCAGTCAGTTAAGTGTCTGCCTTCGGTTCAAGTCATGATCCCAGGGTCCTGGGATCAATTTTTTTTTTAGGCTCTGGAGCCTGCTTCTCCCTCTCCCCCTGCCGTTCCCCCTGCTTTTTTTTTTTCGCTCTCTCTCTGTCAAGTAAATAAATAAAATCTTTTTTAAAAATTATTTTTTTTTTTACCTACACTAAAATTCACCCTTTTTTGTGTATATACAGCCCTGTGATTTTTTTTTTACACAGTTGTGCAGTTATCACCACAATCAAGATACAGAACATTTCCATTTTTTTTTTGATTTCTCACAGGCTTCTTTTATAGTGCATCTCTCTTGCCGGCCTCAGCCATTAGCAGCCACTGATCTTTTTTCTGTCCCTATAGTTTTACGTTTTCCAAAATGTTTTTTTTTTGTAATCATAGAGGAGAAGGCTTTTTTTTTTTTTTAAGATTTTATTTATTTTTTTTTTAGAGACACAGCGAGAGAGGGAACACAAGCAGGGGAAGTGGGAGAGGGTTTTTTTTTTTTCTCACGGAGGACGGAGCCCAATGCGGGGCTTGATCCCAGGACACTTTTTTTTTTTCCTGGGCCGAAGGGAGACGCTTGACTGAGCCACCCAGGCGCCCCAGATTTTTTTTTTTTGAGTCTGGCTTCTTTCATTTAGCATCGCGCATTTAAGATTCATCCTTTTTTTTTTGTGTATCAGTACTTCATTGCTGCTTCTTGCTGAAGAGTATCCTGTTGTCTGGTTGTATCACAGCTTATTTCCCGTTGAGGGAAATTTTGAGTTTCCAGTTTGGGTTTTTTTTTTTAAAGTTGCACTGAACACTTGTGTATGAGGTTTTGTGTGAACATGACTTTTTTTTTTACCTGGGTGAATACCTAGGCATGACACTGCTGGGTCATTTGGGAAGTTTTTTTTTTTTGTAAGAAACTACCAAACAGTTTTCCAGAGTGGTTGTACCCTTTGGGTTTTTTTTTTCATGAGTTCCAGTTAAGGAGTTGAATCCATAATTTGGAAAGCCAGATTTTTTTTTTTCAGAGAAGCTGAGGAGGTGACAATAGCTTGTAGGGTTGTCTGCTGTCTTCCTACCTCTAGGTACCGTCTTCGTGAGCCTCCACACAGGAGAGCTTCCTTTTATATTTTTTTTTTCAATAGTGCTAACTCATTGCACATCTTTCTGAGGATGAGATGTAGGATTTTTTTTTTTGGATGTCATATTTAGTGTCCACAGTCTAACCACTTAATTTTTCATCTTTTTTTTTTTTTTGACAGAAATGCTATTGAATCCTTGTCAACCTCCAGCATGTCTGTTTTTTTTTTTAGTTATATGGAAATAACACCAAATAAAAGTCTTTAAGTTTTCTTGTTTTTTTTTTTTTATGATTGGAGTGTAAGCACTTTTTAAAAAACAATTTTATTGAGATTTTTTTTTTTTGCTATAAAGTTCGCCCATTTGAAGTATACAGTTCAGTGGTTTTCTTTTTTTTTTTTAGAATGCAACCATAACCCTAATTTAATTTTCATCACTCCCTAAAGAATCCTTGTTTGTATCCATTAGCATTCATTGTTCATTCCATTCTTCCTTCTCCCCAACCTTTTTTTTTTACTAATCTGCTCTTGTCTCTATAGATTTGCCATTCTGGACATTTTATATAAATGGGGCCTGGTATTTTATGACTGCTTTCACTCGGCGTAAAGATTTTTAAGGTTTTTTTTTTTTCTAGCATATATAAGTGCTTTATGTTTATGGCCGAATAATATTCCATTTTTTTTTTTTATCTGATGGACATTTGGGTTGTTTCCACTTTTTGGCTATTATTAATCATGGTGTTGTCAGCATTCGTGTATAGGTTTTTTGTGGACATAAATTTTCAGTTCTCTTTTTTTTTTTTTAAGATTTTTTATTTATTCGGGCTCACTTAAGCGTCTGCCTTCGGTTCAGATCATGATCTCCAGGTCCTGGGATCGAGCCCCGCATCGGGCTCCCTGCTCAGTGGGAAGCCTGCTTCTCCCTCTCCCACTCCCTCTGCTTGTGTTCCCGCTCTCGCTGTTTTTTTTTTTGTCAAATAAATAAATAAAATCTTTAAAAAAAAAAAAATCAGTTGACTTTTTTTTTTTGTTAGAGTTTCTTTCTGGATTCTCAGTTCTAATTTCCTTGCTCTTTATTAAATCCATTCTGTGTCAGTGCTACACTGTTTCCATTACTGCAACTTTGTTTTATTTTTGAAATCAGGAAGTATGAGGCTACCATCTTTATACTTTTTCAAGATCATTTCGGCTGTTATGTGTCCCTTCCATTTTCATTTGAGTTTTAGGATTAGTTTGTCAGTTCCTGTTTTTTTTTTTACTTTTTAAATGGTTATTATAAAACAGCAAATCTAGGGCCTTCAGCTTTTTTTTTTTAATGCCTATGTTTCTAAAAATGAGCTCATACCTCACAGAATACGTTTTTTTTTTTTTTATACCTAAATACTTTTTTTTTGATATGCCACATTTTCTTTATCCATTCATTCATTGGTGGATACTTAGGGTTGTTTCCATGTCTCACCCACCATAAGTAATGCTTTTTTTTTTATGGGGGTGCGGATATCTTTTCCGAATAGTGATTTCATTTCCTTTAGTTTTTTTTTTAGAAGTGAAATCGCTGGATGGAGTATACCTAATACTTTGAACAACTTCCCTAACCTCATTCTTCATTCAGACAACATCTATTATGTACCTGCTATGTGCCAAGGTTTTTTTTTTGTACTCAGTCCACAGTGATCATTAAGATCCTATTTCTGCCCTCAAATTTTTTTTTTTTCACGGAGGTGATATATTAAACAAATACTTGAGAAACAATATCACAGTTTTTTTTTTAGAGATACTGTGCAAGGGAGTGGGAACCCAAAGGAGTGGCTAGCCTTTTTTTTTTTTGGACTCTGGCACTTCTAAGAGCTCTGCATGTATTAACTCATCTTTACTTTTTTTTTTAAGTGGGTACCGTTTTTCTCCCCATATTACAGAAGAAGACTGGGTCAGTATTCCATAGCCTTTAGAAAACTTTCTAATAATGGGGCACCTGGGTGGCTCAGTCCTTAAGCGTCTGCCTTCGGCTCAGGTCATGATCCCAGGGTCCTGGGATCAAGCCCTGCATCGGGCTCCCTGCTCGGCGGGAAGCCTGCTTCTCCCTCTCCCACTCCCCTTGCTTGTTTTTTTTTTCTCGCTGTCTCTCTCTCTGTCAGATAAAGAAATAAAACCTTAAAAAATTTTTTTTTTTAATAAACATAATTGCCTCAAACTCTCCTTTAAAATTCTTTGAGATTTCCAAGTCAGTGTGGTTAATTATAACCAAATAAAAGAGTAGGTAGAGTATCCTTTTGTTTTTTTTTTGTACACAACCCCTGTTTTCCTCCCAGCCTTCAGTGTTACACTACTTGTTTTTTTTTTGTTCCCCTGCCTCTTCTCTAAGATTCTCAACTGTGAGTTGAGAACAGGTGTTCTTCTAGCAGGTAAGGGCTCTGAGGTAGAATCTTGCCTTAAGTGCCTTGCACTTTTTTTTTTTTGGGGATGGGTGAAGAGTTTTGCAGTTTTCCTGAGCAGATAAAATGAAGGATTCAACTAGGATGGTGCTGGACCAGCATGGAAAGGCCCAGAATTTACATGAATTTTTTTTTTCCATAGTATCCAGTGAAGAGATACACTAAACCACTTGGGGTAAATGTTTTTTTTTTTTCATGAATAGGGTAGAATTGTCTGCTATGATGTGGAAAGTAAGCTAGTTTCAAAAAGATAAATACTGCATGGGGCATTAGGATTTCAAGGCCATAATATGTCAGTTTTTTTTTTCTGTGCAAGCTTGTGGAATCCAGTATGCATTTATCCATCTAGTATTTGTTGACTCCCAGTATTTTTAAACACTATGTCCTATCCTAGCATAGTTATTAAGTTTATCATTTTAACTGTTCTCAGGTCCAGTAAGATAAGAAAGAAAGCAGAACAAAGGAAAATTTTTTTTTTTTTAAATGGCAGGTACTGTACCAGGTGGTGTTTTACATGTATTATTTAATTTAATCCTCAAAGTAACACAGGTAAGTGTACTTCATACCCTCTTTTTCAAAGGATTTTTTTTTTACTCAGGTAAGTAAGATCACAGAGCCCACCTGCCTTCAGAGTAGCTGTTTTTTTTTTCAGAATTGCTGCTCTCAGTACCAGTTGAGAAATGGATAGGGAAGCTCTTTTTTTTTTGTATTGATAGCATTTGTTGATTTGACCTAACCATTTATTAATTCCACAGATTTATTGAGTGCTGTTTTGTACTGGGTATTATGCTGAGCAATAGGGAAAGGGAGAGACCAAGACAAACATGATCCTTACTCTCATGGAGTTTATATTCTAGTGAGAATTAGATCTTTAGGTTGATTTGCATTTAGCTTTATCTGTTTAGTGCTCGTATCTTGTTACATTTTTTTTTTTATGCAAATATACATATACACATATGCACATGTAGGAGCATAACTGTTTTTTTTTTTTAAAGGATAAAAAACTTAACAAGTTTGGGGAATTTCTTTATACCGCATTTTTTTTTTTGAATTTCAGAGACGCTGAACGGTAAAACTTCTTTATGAATTGCATTTTTTTTTTTTTCAAAAAGGTTTTTTGTTTTTTAATGTTTCATAATAGAAAAATTTTAGTTTTTTTTTTAGTGGAGAGTATACTAAACCCACGTGTATCTGTCACTCAGCTTCATATTTTTTTTTTCATGACCAGTCTTGTAGGGAAGCAATTACTGTAAGTAATTCAGTTCATTTTTTTTTTTCAACTTTAACATTTATCTTTTACATAGGTTTTACGTAAAACTGTTCTTTTTCAAAGAGCTAATTTATTTATGACTAACTTAATATTATTCAAGTAATAAGAAGTTTTTTTTTTAATAATATAAGCTGTTGTATTGTGGGTCTGTTTTATTAATGTTTTAGTTTTTTTTTTTCTTAAGACTCTGGATTACATGTATGTCTCCATATTCAATTGTCCAGTTTTTTTTTTACATTTAAATAAGTAACACTTAGAGAAAGGCAGATGTTCAAAATTAGCCAAGTACACTTTTGGCCCTCTGTCATATTTTGCATAAAAGAACAAAACCAATGGTATTTTTTTTTTACTTTGTAATTTGCTTTTTGAGTTGGGTCTTTTTTGTTGCTACTGGTTGCATGATTAATTTTTTTATGATTGCATACTGATTTGGATTTATTTCTCTTGTGCTGTTTTTTTTTTACAAATTACAACTGGAACTCTACTAAAATCTACTGAAGAAGTACAAGTTTTTTTTTTCAATGGGACTAAGACGGATTATAATGAAGGACACAAGAATGGCAATGTTTTTTTTTTTGTCTCAGCTGGGTGCAGCGAATACCCAGAAATAGACAAAATCATGATTTTTTTTTTGGTTTCAGAAACCAGCACATTAGTTTCCCTAGAGCCTTTAACCTTTGTTTTTTTTTTATTAACAGAAGCAACTTCTAAAGAAAAAGAATGTGAAGAACTAAAAATTTTTTTTTTTTGGTTGTCATTGTTACCAGGGAGCAGTGCCATTTCCAAAGTGGACATTTTTTTTTTAGAGGTGTGTAAGTTAAACCTTGTCTGTGAAGCAGATGACAATCACCAACAGATTCTCAGCCACCATAATGAAAAACACAGTTCTGCCCATGGCAGTCCCAAAGCCACGAGAAATGTAGTTGTTGTAGAACCCTTAGAAGAAAACTCTGGCATTTCATATTTTTTTTTTTTGTCTGGTCCGGAATCCAGGACACCATCCTTAGAAACAAGTGGTTTTGTTTTTTTTTTCTTGCCAAAGAGATCTGCTGAAAAGACAGACAATTCCTGTTTTGATGTTTTTTTTTTAAGCAAGAACGTGGCTTCTAGAAAACAAAATGAACAGTTTTTGAACCTTTTTTTTTTAAGAGGGCAACTCTTTCTTGTTAATGCCAGGCAACCAGAAGAGGATGTTTTTTTTTTTTGTCCTGGTGAAAAAGAGACTGTTGCCTCCCCCAAAGAGAATATCCTTTTTTTTTTTTGTGTTCAAGGCAGTATCCATACAGACAGTCCTAGTTCTTCAGTGCTTTTTTTTTTCACTGAAGCCACAGAAGTAATGTTAAAAAAAAACGATCTGAAAATCATTTTTTTTTTTCAGGGTAGCTTGACAAACCATGAGGACCATAGAGAAACTTCTACTGTTTTTTTTTTTTCAGGCAGACACTCTGAAGAGAGCAGTTTTTCCTCCTTAATGCAGATTGAAGAGCCAGAACAGACAACCACTATAGAGCCCAATATGGTAACTGAAAAGATTTTTTTTTTTTTCTCTAACTCATTCCACTCCCAGAAAAATCTGGAAGACGACACCCAGTTTTTTTTTTTATCATATAATGAATTTCTGATTGAAAGAAAATCCCTTGTGAGTTTAATTTTTTTTTTCCAGATAAGTCTTATGAATGAGGTATCAAAACCCAAGAAAGATACTGCTCAGTTACCACCATCCCTAGAATTTGATTACAAACCTGAGTCAGAAAAAGCTATACTTTTTTTTTTGGACGATAGTTCACATTTAGATGAACAGAACATAGCCGGTGAGATGATTTTTTTTTTTTGTACCAATGAACTGGTTTTAAACAAAATAGAAAGTGAATGTGTTTTAAATCAAGTGCCCCTTAATTCTCAAGACCACGCGAAGTTGCCAGCTAACAAAGAGATTTTTTTTTTAACAAGCGAGGATTCCCAACAGAGCCATCACCCTCCCTTAGAGGATGGAGCAGATGTCATTGCTCATACCCAAACCATTCCCATGAAGGCAAAAATGAAAGACATTTTTTTTTTAGGTGACAAATCCTGTGGTGCCTCTTCAAACAACCCCACCTTAAACATCAAACCAGGAAGCCTAGAAAGAAAAAATGAACTGGCTGATTCTGGAATAGTCGGTCTTTTTTTTTTACTTCTCTCAAGCAAGAAAGAAGCAGCAGGCTTGCCTCAAGAGGTCTTTTTTTTTTTATGTCAAAGTGTTCAATCTCAGGATCTCTCTCGCTGTCATTGTGTAATTTTTTTTTTACAAGAAAAGAGCGTGTGTTCTGCTTATGCTGCTTTTGAGTCCAGCATTTTTTTTTTAAAAGTTGAAAACTCTTTGATGACCAAGTGTGAAGATGCATTTCGGCTTTTTTTTTTCCACTCCCAAGGAAGAGAAGGCTCCACAGAAAGTAGCACCCATAAAGTGAGTTACACATCGGAGGGAAGTGAACTTGCTGGGGAAGAAACTGAAGGCAGCCTCCCAGGAGATAAGATGCGAAACAAAATGACAGGAGGCGGGTTAAATAGTGAAGCTTCAGACAAGACCATTCGCACCACCAGTCACACCCAGCCCAGTGAGGAATGGTTGGAAGGAATTTTTTTTTTTGTACCTAAAGAGACTGTGTTTTGCAAGTATAACATCTCTGACTGTGTTTTTTTTTTACTAAACTTATCTGCAGACATTCCAAGCCCTAAAAAATTGTTGGACCTTTTTTTTTTTATTATGCTCTCCAATTTCAAAAGCATGAGCCAAGCAGTTGAAACTCTTTTTTTTTTAACAGATGAAGTCCTTGACTGCCAGAATAACCAAAATAGACCAGATGTTTTTTTTTTTGAAGATAAACCAGCTAAGGAGACATCAGATGGTGATGAGAGAGAGATTTTTTTTTTACCTAACAGAGAGGTAAGCCACAACCAAAAGGATCTGCTAGTTAGTTCAGCCAATAACAACCCGTTGCCCAGTGGTAGTTCAAAGAAAGGCTATTTGAAAGGAGTTTTTTTTTTTATTTCTGGTTGTGAGGAGTCCACAGATGGCATGGTAGACATCATCTTTTTTTTTTTCAGTAATAAGTCTACAGAAGGCATGTTAGATTTAAAAGCATCTAGTATTTTTTTTTTTGGTGCAGGGCAGGATAGACTGATGTTACAGGAAACCTCAGTGAGTACTCTTTCTCAGAGAGGAGAACTGAATGCTGCATTTATCGGAATGATTGGCCAGGACTCAGATTTCCCAGATGCTACTTCCTCTACAGGGGAGCCTCTGGAAATTAAAAAATCATTTTTTTTTTTAGTATGCAGATCGTTAAAAGACTGTGAAATGGAAGTGTGTCCAGACTCTTGTGCCCATGAGCTAGAGTCTATTGCAGATCATGAACCAAATATAAGAACATTGGTTTTTTTTTTTGTGTCCTTAGATTATAGTCATCATGAACAGCAAGTTAAAGAAGCATTTTTTTTTTTAACACAAGGAATGATCGAAGGATCAAGACTGGAAATAAATTCTGAGTTTGACAAGGACAACACCTTTGGAATTTCCTCAAAAGAGTTGCTGTCTTCTGGATGCCTTTTTTTTTTCCCTGTTCCCGTAGGGAGCCTGAAATCCATTGAGATAATGCCTTCGTTTTTTTTTTTTCACAAAAATTCAGAAAGTAATCTTAATAGTGAAGAAACTGACCTGATTTTTTTTTTTAAACCAAAAGATGGTGAAATGCTTTGTGAAAATGTGGAGCACCACATTTTTTTTTTTGAGAAGAAGGAAGGAGAACCAGGGGATGGGAGTAATTCTGGTAAAGGAGTCAGAATAGACATTGGTATGCAAAATTTGCCTTTGACAATGGAAACAGAAACTCAGTTGAGAGGAGAAAAAACTGAAGAACATCAGAAGGGGCCCATGGGTCACGTAACTGTCAGGGAAGAGTCTGAGGAGATGATTACCAGAGAGGCTGGTCATGGTGATAAAGGAAGGGAGCTTTCTCAGTCCCACTCTAAATCCCAGAGGATGCTTGCTGATATTGAAGAGCTTTTTTTTTTGAGGGCTTTGGACTACATGTTGCAGAATGAAGAGGAATATATACATCTTTTTTTTTTATACACGGTATCGGAACAATGTACATCATCTAACGTGTTACCGGATGAGCTGAAAGATAAGAACCAAGCTAAGTATAGCAAAGGTGAGTCCACCATGATGAAGATTTTTTTTTTAGCACAGCTGGCCACGGGTGGCAGTGCTGCACAGTTCCAAAAGTTGGAGGATCCAAAGGAGGAAAGCTTGTGTCATCCATTAAAAAGAGCCATGGAGTCATGCATTTTTTTTTTCCTTCATGGTGCCCCTCAGAAAGCACAAGATCCCAACTCTGCTGGGTGTGATGAAATACACGGTGCCTTTGGGAACACTTCACACCAGAAAAGAGTCCTTCCCTTTTTTTTTTTGCCCCATAGAACATGTAAGAAAGTTTCCTGTCAGGAGCAAGTCAAGATTTTTTTTTTAATAAGTAAAATCGGAAGTTCTGCCTTTTTAAAGAGTTCCTCCGAAACCATCCCCACAAAAGCACACAGATTTCTCAGTTCATGTGCTGTGCCTGCACCCGCACTTTTTTTTTTCGAAACAGAACCAACCAGGAGCTCAATGAGCCACGTACCAAAGCAGAAGGTGACTCCGTGCCATCCCTTCAGGAGCCTGAATGTTAGGAAGCCAACCAAAGAATCAGCCTTACTCAGCAAGCTGTCCATTCTTGCCTCCAAACTGGTCCCAGCCACAAAGGTTTTTTTTTTAAGATATCGGCGGTGTTCCTCGGAACTTCTTCCAGTGGCGAAAAGCTTTTTTTTTTTCAGATACAAAAGGCTTCTGGATGGCTTTTCGTACAATACAATGCAGCTTTTTTTTTTTTTGGCAGCTAGTGGATGGGATAAGAGACCTAACAGTAAGCCCTTGACACTTTATTCGCTAGAAGCCATCAAAATGAGCTTCATAGATTTGAACAACAAGGTGCTTTTTTTTTTGTTTGGTTCCGAAATTTTCCCGGTATCTTTTCACATGAAATCGGGCTTTTTTTTTTTGACCGAGTCCCCAAGGACTTTTCCTGAGCACTGTGCTCCAGCCAGGCTTTTTTTTTTAGAGGCCCCCAGGTGCCTGTCTCAACCTCCCAAGTGGACCTTTTCTTTCTTCTTGTCCCACAGTTGTCCTGGGATGGCCACATTCAGGGAAGACACTGGCCTCCTTTTTTTTTTATGTGCCCAGGCTCCCTCACAGTCTCCAGGTCCTCTCCAAGACTATGTTTTTTTTTTCATAGTCCAGACCAGAGCAGGCTGCTCTGTCCTTGGCCTTCACACACTTCTAGCACTTTGTTCTCCTGGATGTTACCGAATCTGGACAAAAAAACGGAGCTTCTCTAGTCACATGCCTACCATGCAGAGGCTCTTCATGACCCAGTTCACACAGGGCTTAATTTTTTTTTTATCTCCAGCCTCCATAGCAGACAAGGTCTTCTGTTCTCTTCCCTACTCGGTGGGCCGAGTGCTATCCATTTGGAGCCAGCATGGGCCTTCCGCCTGCCCCTTCGTTTTTTTTTTTCTTCATTCCACTCACAGCAAGCGGCAGCCAACTCTGAGCACCACGAGCAGGTAAAATCCATGTTTGCTTTTCAACCTCTGGGGGAAGTTGAGGGCTAGAAATGTTTTTTTTTTTAGAGTTTCTGTGTCTGCATTTTCTGTTTACCTTGACAAATCTCTGCTGAGAAAATGTAGCTGTAAGTCTTAAGTGTAGACCCCTCTAATTTTCCTGCAGAATCTGCCCCTGTATTTTTACCATTCTGTGTTTTGTCCATGTCATTCGCAAACCATCAAATCTTTTGAATCTCTTCTACCCATCCCCCGCCTTCCAAAGAACACCATTACACATCAAATTTTTTTTTTTAGTGACAAATAATGGCTTCCAACTATATCTTATTGACAAAGTATTATACAGTCAGCAACTACTTTGGTGTTTGATGTATAAAGGATACAGAATAAGTACTTTTTTTTTTTTTTGACTTTATTTATTTATTTGAGAGAGAGAGAATGAGAGATAGCATGAGTTTTTTTTTTGTCAGAGGGAGAAGCAGACTCCCTGCTGAGCAGGGAGCCCGATGTGGGACTCGATCCCGGGACTCCAGGATCATGACCTGAGCTGAAGGCAGTCGCTTAACCAACTGAGCCACCCAGGTGCCCCCAGAATAAGTACTTTTTTTTAAAAGATGTTATTTATTTATTTGACAGAGAGAGCACAGTAGGGGGAGCGGCAGGCAGAGGGAGAGGGAGAAGCAAGCTCTCCACTGAGCGGGGAGCCCAATGCAGGGCTCAGTCTCAGGACTCCGGGATCATGAACTGAGCCAAAGGCAGACACTTAACCGACTGAGCCACCCAGGCACCCCCAGAATTTTTTTTTTTTAAGTAAATAAACTAATTATGTAGGTATCACCAAATCTAGTTCATGATTTTTTTTTTTTCTCTCTGGAGCAGAGAGGCTTCAAAGATTGACATTTACATACTATAGTTGTACAGTTTATAGAATTTTAAGTGAGCTAGAGAAGAGTGGTTTGACCACTTAGAATAGCTGAAAATAATTTCACCAATATCATTTTACCTTTTTTTTTTTTTTAAGTTTTTTTTTTTTTTAGAGTAGGGGGGGCAAGAGGGTGATAGAAAATCTCAGCACACTCCCTGCTGAGTGCAGTGCCCTACACGGGGCTCAATCCCACAACCCTGAGATCAAGACCTGAGCTGAAATTGAGAGTTGGACGCTTAACTGAGCCATCCAGGTGCCCCTCATTTTACCTCCTTACTGGAAATAAGAGGAAAAAGAATTTGAGAGTTATATCCTAAGGATCTGTCTCTTTTTTTTTTAATCCTCCTATTTGTAATCCCTCAAATAAACAGAAACTGAAATTTTTTTTTTTTTTTCCTCATCAAATTCAACACCAGCAAAGCCTTAAAATTAGGGAGAGGCCTTTTTTTTTTTGTGTCTGTGCAGTCTCGTACGCAGAATCATTCTGTGTCACTAAAACGCTGTCTGGTGCATATTACAAAGTTCCCTGACCGTCTTAGCAGAAAACTAACTAAATTTTTTTTTTTTAGAAGGACACCGCAGAACCTGAATGTGGCTGATGGAAATTGAGAGATTTTTTTTTTTCGAAGTACTTGTCCTGTAGTTAATAGAAAAATGTTCTTACAGTGTATTTTTTTTTTATACATTGGGATGAATCAAATTGTTTTATTTTTTATTTATTTTGTTCTTTTTTTTTTTTTATTTATTTGAGAGAAAGAGAGATAGCGAGAGAGACCACAGCGGGAGGTGCGCAGAGGGAGAGGAAGAAGCAGACGCTCCACTGAGCAGGGAGCCTGACACGTTTTTTTTTTCCAGGACCCTCACTGAGATCATGACCAGAGCCGAAGGCAGACATTTATTTTTTTTTTTCACCTAGGCGCCCCTGACTAAAATTGTTTTAAATCATACTATACTGTTTTTTTTTTGTCTGGTTTGTCAGTATTCCTCTGTAATCTCATAACCATGCTCTGCTTTTTTTTTTTCATGCAGCTTTAAATTGTGTTACCTTCTCTATGCTATGTTCATGCCTTTTTTTTTTTTATAGGCCAGTTCTTTTTTGCACCCTTGAAGATGTGCGGCCTTTGGCTTTTTTTTTTCATCCAGAACTCTTTTTCCCCCCTGACTTTTCTGTTTCCTGGCATGGTTTTTTTTTTCTCTCCCTTCCTTCCTATGTCTAGCATTTTATTTTGTTTTATTTTTATTTTTTTTT